TTTGACTTTTTGACATACTGTTAATAATTCCTTTTAGTGGCGTCATTTCGAATCACCGCACTTTAACAGAGGACTTCCATGACGCAAGCTCGAAATATTTTAATTAACTCTTGTCGATTACACGCATTCAACGTGTTTCCCCATAATCAATCCAAGACAGCTCGTTTCACTAATGCAGTTTCCCACCTTGATGTACTGTTTATATCGGACCTTTCGGGCCTTTACGTTTGACCTTTCTTCTCCAGGTATTCTTCTTGTGAATCTCATCCTTATTGGGATATATCTGGGGAAGAGAAGGGGAGTGTCTGTCGAATTCTACCATCACAAAATGCTCTAAGTGGGGCGAGTACCTTTACGAAGTGTGTCTGCTTTGATAATCATTGTTGTTCCTGCATTGACTAAGTTAGAGGAATGATATATTTGCATTATCGTATGTGCAATGTAAGTTATCAGCACACACGTCTATCAAAATTCTTAGGGTTGCCTGATGTTAGTATTTACCGCTTTAGAACGTTTACTTGTGGGATTTCATACACATCCTATCCCATCTTTATTCCTGCAGTTCTTCCCTACAATTCGGTCTGAGGTTATTTTGATTCGGGATCTTTACATCCCATATCCTAGGCAACGGCAGCGGAAGTCCTGATAGGCGCCAGTGATAAGTAGTTTATCAAAACGTTTCGAGAAGATCGTCAGTATATCTGAAGAGCTCTTATCATAGGCACTTACTCAGCCCCTTTTGGCTCTCATCCTTCGAAAACGTGATTTGTCCACTCGTTGAGATCGTCGACAATCTCGATATTAAACGCTCCACAGCCGATCAGTAACTTGCAACTTCTTGAGACATGGGTTTTGATATGTTGGTGAGGATCACCCAGGAAGACCATGACTTACGAGGAACAAGTTTCTGATTCTAATTGTGTCTTCTTACTCTAGTCGGACTGTTGACACCAGTTTGACAGCAGTTACCTATTATTGTACTCGACAATTCATGGGATTCAAGAGGCTTCCCAGAATGCTTGGTTAATTTAAGCATTTCAAACCTTGTTACACTCCCCCGTCGCTCCTACGCTATTCTTTCAGGGCTCAGGCAATCGCAAGCATATTCCCAACTACCGCCTTGGCACTTGCGTGTCCCTATTTTTTGGAATCAGAAATCTCGTCGGTCTTTAGAAGCATCTCTATGGGACCTAAAATAGCAGTAACTTGTATCAGACTAATCTTTAAATAAAACTGACATGACAGTCTCGTCGTCTTAAGCCACCCTCAATCGATAGTCTGATAAAAAAACATCATGCTCTCTGTGATTTTATCTCATTTCCTACTTTAATCCCGCTAATCACGAACTGCTACCCTAGACATTGTCTTGTGGATCCTATCACTCAAATTACCTACAGATAGAACTTATTAAACAAATTACCTCGATAGCCAGTCATTTCTTGGTATGCAATAACATGTTCATTGGTAGAACCTTAAAAACTGTAATTCTTTTCCAGCCGCCCTTGAAACCAGGTACCTATATAACTTCATTATACAGAGTATTCACTGGTACTCTCTCTGTACATGGGATGCTCATATTTGGATGCTTACTAGGTAGATCCACCGATCTACTTTTTCTATCCGCTACATTCACCAATCCCTCAGAGCTTAGAGATATCCGGCTCCACCGAAAGCGACCCCCTTTAGATGCATGAGCTCGATGAGCATAGTAATTAATGATTAACTTGAAGCATCTCGAATTTTCCAACCATGAATTTTCTTTCCTCTCATTTGATTATTCCCCATGGTTTAATTTACTATCTTGCACCAGTGCCACCCACAACCAGGGACTATCAAACGCTTCGTCATCCTGTCCGAATTCATTCTCCATCGTCTCCACCTTTCTCCTATTCATCATTCAGCTATTTTCTCTCCCCATTTCCCACCTAGACCTCCCCCGACCCTTTCCATCAATCTAGAATTCATTCTTTATTCTTCCCTCTCTTTCATTTCCTTTACACCTTCATTTTGAATCTTGCGTTCTTGCTCTGCAGTTGCATTGCACTGAATTATACACGACACGAGCGAGGATTTGTTGATTGGGTATCATTACGATAAGAATCGCTAGCATCTACAGGAAGTGATTACCGAAAGCCAGGCGATAAATCGCTATTAGAGCCCGAAGAAAGCCCCCAAAATGCCTCGGATGCCTGTGCACCGTTTCCTCGCTGTTGCGACGGTAGCATTTTTCCTCATCTTATCTTACTATCACGAGAACGTTTCCCAGACTATCGTACCTGCATTCAGGGAAACGCCAATAGAAGAAAATGCAGCACCACCAGAAAAGTCACAAGCAACTGCAAAACAAGTCGCTCAAACTCATGAAACACAGCAGGCTCAAATTGCACCAGTAGAATTGAATATTACTGATGTTGACGATGCTGCGTTTCTACGCGATGTATTGGCGAAGAACAATGTTGAGATGGAGATCAACTACGTGATGAGAACTATACGATATATTACAGACGCGAAGGAAAGACCGATGTTGACGAATACCAGCCAAGAGTTGTTTCCTAGTGGGTGGAAGAAGATTAAGCTTTCAGATGTTGAGAGGCTACCAGCGGATGAATTAGAGCCTTTGGAAATTCACGTTATGAAAACTCCACGACCAGACGAAATTGACGCTTCCGAGTTATTGTTTGGAGTTTCAACCACATACAAGAGATTCAGTGACGAAGTTGATGGGCCAGTCAAGGAATGGGTACGATGGCTTACAGATGGAAATGGCACATCGAACGGAGCTGGACTTGTCTTGCAATTGCACGATACCACCGAAGAGCAATTACAAGCTGCTCAAGAATTGCTCACTGGTGTTGGAATTGATGCAACGGTCATCCACTCGGATCCTTCACTCGATATGCCGGGTAGATATGTTGATTTGGTACCAATTCTTTACAGCCATCCATCAAGATCAAGTAGAAAATACTTGTCGTTGATTGACGACGATACTTTCTTTCCCTCGCTTGGCGCATTGATGAAGGAGTTGCACAGCTATGACCCTAACGAGGAGTATTATATCGGTACTCTCACCGAGCGGGTGGATTTTATTATGCATGATCGAGTTCCTATGGTAAGAACCTAGAATCCTTCCTGTCAATTGCCACTAATGAATCCGTAGGCTTACGGTGGAGCTGGTGTTTTTATTACTGCCCCTCTCGCACACACTCTGATTGGACTCCCCTGTCTCGACGTGGATCCTTCCACAGGCGAATACACCGAATCCGGGTTTCAGGGCGATCGACTCCTCTACCACTGTATCAAAAACCATACCTCCATTACTCTCAATTATCTCCCCAGACTCAATCAACTCGATCAATGGGGCGACCCATCCGGTTTCTACGAAGCTGGTCATCAACCCCTCTCTTTACATCATTACAAATCTTGGCATCATGCTACTCCTGAGATATCTCACATTGTTGCAGATGCCTGTGGTGAAGCATGCGTTTTCCAACGATTCGGTTTCGACGGAAAGGGCTCGTCAAAATGGGTTCTCACAAACGGATACTCTCTCGCCGAATACCCTACTGGTATTCATTGGGATATGTCGAAGATGGAAGGAACATTTGATCTCGGCGATTCAGATATGTGGGCCTCTGGAAAGGAAGATGTGCGGTTAGCTTTTGCTTATGGCGCTCTTCGTGAGGGATTGAGCTATACGGGCAAAAAGCGAGCCTGGGAGGCGCTTGGAGGAAGGAAAAGAGCGGATGGGGTGGTGGATATGGTTTATGTCAAGAGGAGGGGTGACCATAGATGGGTTGGTCAACATGAGCATGAAGAAGATAGGGAAAATGTCGTGGTTTTGCGATTCATTCCATAATCTGCATCTTCCTTTCTATTCTAAGAGAGGAGCTATTTGCTTTCTTCTCCACTTCAAATCTTTCTGGATATAGGTTTGCTGGATTTAGGGGATGTATATATTCGTGTGTCTGCAGACAATTACTTACATAGGGTTCTGTTACATAAAGGCGCTTTTGGATAAAAGGGATACGGATCATCTGCGCATTGAGTGCCAGTCGATTCTGGCAGGCGTTTTGGATTAGGTTTTTCGAACTGACAGATGAGAAAGGCGAAGGGTGTCTATCTGATTGAATTGGATATATGTGTACATGGGTGGACATCTACGGTGAATGTTTATGGATGCGATGAGATGAGACGAAATTTAGGTTTATACAGATAGAGATAGATAGGCCGATGATAAAGTGTATAACAAGAATACCCTTGCGTATGATGCAACTTTTTTTTTTTTTTTTTTGAGTTTGGAGCTATGGGCATTAGTGTGCTCGGTGATTTTGTCTGTGGGTTTGTAATTTCTTTTACCTTTTTGGTGGTGATTGGATTTCTTGTTTCTGCCTTTTCATTTTTTGGATGGTTCTGCGGCAAGGTACTCACTCAATAGTGATGGGGTTGCATAATATTTGCATGGAGTAATGATTGATTCCTACTAAGAATTAGTCATTCAAGTGAAGTGTTTCATTTCGTAACATCTTTTTTCCACCAGCGACTTCATAAGTTCTGAGAACATGCAATGATTCTGTTGAATACACCAATGGGTTGTACGTGGTAAGGTAAGATGGAGTGCGTGCAAAACTGCAAGTGTTGACCGATGCAGTAGTAAAGATAATCTAATCCTAGCTCCAAGACCGGTTCAAGCAGTAGTTCCACGCGAACCCCGAACGAGAAGTTCCAGTGCACATTGTATTCCTGCGGTTGATTCGGGTTTGCTGCACTGCGGGAACGAGGGTCAATTCTGTGATTGTTATGAGAGAGGAAGAAGGTATTGGGGTCTAATACAAAGCTTTTCATTTTGAGATCAGACTGAGTTACACCTCCGTGTATGTGAAGTCTTTGTTGGGAAGCATTGAATGAATCACGAAAGAATTGCAAGAAAAAGTACAATCATTAAAGTCAACTTTCAAGGCTATTATTAACCAACTAATTTCGCTTGATTGCCATAACTCCCGCTACTTAGTGGACCCAACCCCCCAAGTTAAACTAGCTAACGAGCCGTTCATCATTTGTAAACGCTCTAATCGCTCTGATAGATTTACGGAGTGTATCTAGCAACTTTTCCTTCTTCTCCAACTCCGAGTTTAGTGCCCGCTTTTCTTCTTGCAGTTCCTGAGCTCTGGTGATTTCACCAATGAGTTCTAATTGTAAACTTTTGCCATTCTCGACCGCGGAGCTTAACTTTTGATTTGCTTCGTCCAGATCTCTTTCAAGATCTTGCCTCCCAGCTGTTAGAGCATTGATTTCGGTCTTTTGTTCGCTGCTTTCTGATAGAAGCTGCTCTTTATCGCGTATCGCTTGTTTCAAATTCGAAATAGTCCCCTCCAGAGCTTGGTAATTTTTGGCTTGCTCGGCCTTCTCTGTTTCCAACGTTTTTGCCTCTGAGGTTATCTGCTTAGTATTTGCCTTTTCCTCTTGAAGCAGGTCTTTCCAACGGGAATTAGCCCTTTTCAGCCCCCAAATCTCAGCGTCTTTGTCTTCGAGTTCACGCTTCAAACTGAAGATTTTCGATTCCAACATTTCCGCATTATTCTCTGTTTGCAACCTATTATTGATCCCTTTTAACTTCTCAATTTCAGCTTCTTGATCTTTGACCTTATCTTCTAAAGCAGAGATCCTCTCTTTGGAAGTATCCACCTTCTTTTTTAGCATCTCAACAATTTCGTCCGTCTCTTCGTTGGCGACACGACGTCTTCGCATTGCTTCGTCAATATCGACTTTCATTTCCTCTTTTTCTGTATCGCGTCCCTGAGACACTTTTTCGTGTTAGCTCAGTAATACAGTCTAAATCCGTGACACGTACGATTGGGAAGCTTTCTACTCCGAGCCGGTGAGCCATAGTCTAGCTCTAAAACATCCGCTTGAAGTTGTAGATATGGACGATCGGGATCGTTACTGGATCTGCGTTTGGGACGACGTTTCGCCGGATTTGCAGAAGACATACTTCGTAGTCGTGAGATCGAATGTTAGAAATATCTAGAGGTTTGAAGTTATAATTTGGGGCTGGTATTGGGGTTTGTATGCCACTGAACTAAAAATGCAAATAATAATAATTTGATTTCCTGTTCCTTGCATGTTAGGAAGAGGGAATTTGAAATAGAAATATGCATCTGTATCAATTAGTGGCAAGCCGCAGCAATTTGGAAATGGAAAGAGCGATATCCACCAGTGGGTGCATGAACTGACGATACACTTTTTAACTTTCGAAATTTTAACAAATTCATTCTTCAATTGTTTGATTTTAGTATTCACGTTTGCATTATTCCGTCTCTAATGAATAATCTCAAAAATTACCAAGATGTATGAATCGATATATCAAGAGATATTCACAAGTCAACTTTTTGTAGGGTCCCGTCAGTTCATCCACCCACTGGTGAATTGAAAATGGGAACAGCAAGCACGTAAGTCCTGGGCAACATAGCCATGGAAGTGATCGCGCATCACTAAAGACCATTATCACAGGAACAACTTCATTTTCAACAGACCAAACAACCATCATTGTCATGCATTAGCAGTCGTTTGAACAGCAATGCATTAACCTTTTATCATCTCATGATTCAGCATCTCCCCCACTCAACATCCTCCGCATCTGCATTCTCCAATCTCCAACCTCCTTCAGCTTTGCAGATTGCTTCTCCATTGTTGATTCTAGTTCCAAATTCCTTTGAGCAAGTTTTGCAATCTTATCTTTCTGCAGATTCAATCTATCAGTTTTCCCTCTCAATCTTGCAATTTCATCATGGCGTCCCCTAATATCTTTTTTGAGATACACTATTTCCCCAGTAGACGCTGCTGCCAATTGTTTCAATTCCGTCTCGGCAACTCGCAGCTTGGTGCGGAGTTCTGCTATCGAATCCCGGTAAGCGACAGCATTTTTCTTGACAGGTGCCAGAAATCTTTCGCATTCGCTTATCGTACTCAATAGTGTGCTAAGTGGTGCAGTTTCGTCTGGATGAACCAATCAGCTTTTCCCGGGGATAATGAGGTGAAGTACTACTCCCTAGAACATATCGTCTTCCGAAATATCTGACAATATGTCGTGTTACTTTGGACAGTCTTTAACGTGGCCCTTGATTGACTCGAAGTCATTGTTGAGAGAAGACGAAGGTAGGTTCAGCTGCACAGGAATATCGTTTTTGGCCGGTTTAGAAACCCTTGGGTTTGTCGGAATTGAAGCTGGGTTGTATGTAGTCAGATTGACAATTATCTTAAATTGGTTTCTATATGGCAGTTGTGAGCTCCTACATTTGCTAGTACTCTGAAAAATCGCGTGGAGACGCATTCTTGCCCTATTGCCCCCTTCTTCTATTGTCTTTGCTCTCTTCCTTTTGAAATCACTAGATCATAAGGAATACTGTGCTCCGAGTTCGACTCACTGAGTAAAAGCCTGGGTTATTGTAAAATAGTATACATTATTGAATTAAACAATAGCAGAAGTAGGAGCTACTATATTTCCTCGAAAAGTAAGGATAGGGTCTTTTTTTGACTTCGAATGTAAACGGACTTTTAGATACACTTTTTTCCGGTGAACACGTTCACCTGCAAGCCTTCGATACTTCTATTTTTTGATTGTAGCCAGGGTATCTGGCTAACATCGACTGATATCGATACCTCTCCCGATTGATCAATATGCGCAATCTGAAAGCCTTCAGCCTTCAGCCTTCAGGCTTCTCGGCAGTCCGCATAGATCTACAGCGGCATTGGTTGAATTATACTCTCGGATCTCTTTACAAACTTCCTTGTTATTGATAGCAAACAGAATTGTTGGAGTGAATGTTACCATCTATCAGAACAAGCATTGCTATTGGCTTGATCCACTTCGTGTAACATACAAACGCCTGCTTCTCATCTGACTTGCTGCTTTCGTCCACCTCTTCTTCTTGGATATTATGACTCGAAGACTGTGCATAGCATAGCTTTCATCGAATATCTGGCACGCTAAAGGACGGGAACTCGTCTATATCAAATGGAAATATAGTGAATCTTATCTCACGCTGTTATCAATACTCCGTGACTCTAACATCTCGTGTAGATATCTCTGCCAAATTCAAATCCTTCTAAACCGAAACCATGAATCCCTATGAAAGAGGAAATAGCAAATCCGAGGCCCAATCGTGAGAGTGCACACAGATGCCAGGAAACACTTATTATAAATGATTAGATTTAACATTCTTCATAGCAATAAGAGAGCAAGAACCGACGCTCCAAAGCAAGACGATATTGACGACGATGTTGAAAACGCAATGGCATTCATAAAAAAGACCTTATTGGCCAAATCTTTAGAGATTAAGAGACTCAAAGCACGACTTGAAAAAATGAGCTCGGAGTCTAGTGTAGCTATGCCAAGATTCTAGCAACTATTCGACGATAATGCAGCTCTAGAGAAAGAAAACGAACATCAAGCTGAGAAAATAGAGAACTACCGACGCCAGTTGTCAAGCATTAGAAAAGAAATGAAGAAATCGATCTCCAGGGCGGAAGAGAAATGCAAAAAATTCTCGGTTTTGATTTCCGAGAAAGACTTATTGATAGCGCGATATGAGGATAAACTACGGTCTCTCTCAGTGAAAAAAGCTTCATCTATAACAAGAGCTAAAGAGCTTCACCAGAGACTAGCGGAAGGATGGGATAACAGAGCAGAAATAAGGGACCTCGCAGAATTTAACCTGAAGAGACCCATTTGCGTCCAGAAAGAAATTTATGAAAGTGCGTACAAACAAGTGGTGAAAAGTTTTTTTTTGTGATGCCTACTTCTCGCTGTTATTGTTATCAATCCGCTCCTTTCATTTCCCAATTCATCTTTCAAATATCTTCTACACCGAATATTCACAAATCATGATGACGAATAAAAAGCTTCCTAAGAAGGCTCCGTTAAATATACAGAGTGACTGTCATCCAGAGAATGAGCCGTCTTTGGCCGAGGAAAATACTCCTGAAGTATACCAATGACACAGCTTTGATAGACTTGCGCATAACAATTGATATCTAGGATTTGACAATCACTAGCGATGCAGAAATCGAAGACCCTATCTCAATTTTGACAATCCAGTCTACCGGCGAGTAATCATGAGCTTGACCCATTCAAGCGATTGAAGTTTTGACCGACGGACCGTGAAGATTGGAATACAACAATAGAGGTAAATAGCTCATGTCATCGGTTGATCAAACTTGTCAAGTTACACCACCGCAAGATATCTCCGATGAGAACAAAAACATAGCTGGTTCAGAAAAGAAGAACCCTACAACGATCTCACCTGGCGCTACTTGTGACGAGCAGCCGACTGAATGTTCGAAACCTAGTCGTTAGTCTTCCTCTTTTCTTTCTTCAGAATTCTTCTTTGATTACATAAATCTATTCATCCATTAATCACATCCACATCCACAGAAAACAAGGGCGAAAACCCTCTCAAAGATCCTGAATCCCGTGAGAACTAGAAACAAGAACTTCTCTATTCCCTCACAGTAGTGAAGCTGCACTTCAAGATCCAATCAGAGGTGGAAGATTCCACCAAAGACATCGATTATATAGTCACCAAAATAATCGACAAGAGGATATTTACTTTTCATATTGATGGTGCGCCTACTGCAGGGCCTATTGTTGAACAAGTTGATAAACATTCTCATTTAGATCAGATAAGACTTCAATCTCTCAAAAACAAGAGGAGGAAAGGTAGAAGAAAATCACTCAGCTGCGCAAGATAAACAGAGAGATGATCTGGAAGACTCGTGAATAGAGAGCCGAGAGAATTAAAGAGGCGATGAAGTTTAAGGAGGTAGGACGATTACTAGAGTTAGTTGATACTACTGAAAGAGGTTTTGGTGTCAATATTTGAAACAATTTCAGCACAGGAGAGATCTCAGCTATCATTTTATGGAATATCGATCAGTGGGATAATGATTCCTTTTTCAAAAAATCTAATAGAACATCGTCTCTTGTTGAATGCGTATACTGTAAGCTTTTGGTTTGATCTAGCCTTGAGAGGTATCAGATTCGGTCTTTCGGTATGATAATCACGCATAGCTGGATCTATAATCCGAATGACTTTTCAATTGTCCCTCTATGATACGTTATGCGTTGAGAAGGTGTGTCGATTATGAATACATAGTACACAACAATTCAGCAACTAGTGCTTTATCATCCAATCTCTTCTATATATATGACTTAATGTTTGACTGCGCTGATGTCATCCAACCCTTAACCCTCTTCATCTACGCCGCCATAGCTTAATAAATATATACCCTGGCTCTTGTTTGATCGGATTGTTTTGCAGCTTTCGCCTGACTCGCACTTTATGTATTCTTTCCTCGCACAACCATTCTTCTCCTTTTAATTTTACTTTGTTGACCAGATCTCGAAACATTTTCGAATTTCCGGATCCTAAATTCTGGAAACTCTTGAATTTCACCCTCCTCTAATTCAGAGTCCAAGTCGTATGGTGATAAACGCTGGGATCCTGGTGGAGTGACCTGGGAATGCTGCGGGACATTTCCCCTTCTACATTCCAAGGGGCTGTCCGCATATTCTGCGAATCTTTCTGTAGTAATTCTAGGGTGGCAGCTCACGAGAGCGGCCTTAAATTCTTCGCAAGCTTCATCCGATGGCTCAAGAATACTGCGGTTTCTCTTGAATCCACTTGTCTTACTGTTCGTTTGCTGTAATTTCGTAAGGAAGCTCTGTAAATTAGACTGCAAATTAAATTGCAAGAAGTCGGTTTGAAGAGCACCCAAGTAGACTTCCTGAGCCTTGCTCAATGGTTTCCGGGACGCTTGATTATTTATCTTGAGTATTTTTATTGTCGCACTTTCTGCATCTCCAATTTGTGCCAGAAATTCGTGCGGGACAGGGGCAAGAACTTTTGCAATATCCTCATCTTGTCTTCTTTGGAGATTTCGGCATCGTTTCACAAGCCAATTTATCATCTTACTGTCTATTGAATTGGCTTTGAGTTCTTCCCTTACCAATTCAGGGGTTTGAGATCGATTGTCGCGCGATTTGAATGCTTTTCCAATCTTTTCGACATCGTTGGATTTGATACTAACGCTATCGCGAGCGGCTGCCAAAGGCTTCTCTGTTTGTTTTCCTGGATTTTGTTCCACGTCAGAGTGAATGATACATGGAATACATCGTCGGCAAATAAAGCCACTATGGTTGGGTGTCGCAATCGTCGCATTAAACGATGTTACACAGCTCATGTGATATACACCCGAACATTCTATACAAAACGCTAGTGTCTCGGATGTTCTGCTCACGACATCCATTTTATACAGCCTATGGCATATCTGACAGCATCCCTCAGAAGGTGCCCCTAAAGCTGTCAGCATGTATCATTGTAGTATACTTCGTCATGGAAACATACTGAATGCTCGCAAGCAAGAGCATTTGGTCTCAAATATATACTTCTGAATAATCTCAAAAGATCTGCGAACAGACTGACGGAATTCCAGTGACGACGTTTCTGTAAGCACGCGAATTGCAATGAAGGTTCGGGGAATTTTGTACTGTTGACAGGCGATGTAGATACAGCAAGCAACAAGAACTACTGGCAGTTCATCCATTGTTTCGTTCAAATTAAGACCATTGAAGTCTGCAGTAGCCTGAGAGAGCATTTTCCAGAAGTATTTCGCTCTGTTAGCAACATTTTCTGGGAGGTTCCCAGCCTGACAATCTTTCTCAATCTTTTCACAGCCCTTGGTCTCGCTTAATCGATATATGTTCGGCGTGGTATCAAGTTCCATGTTCTGAAAAAAATGAGAAACTATACCTACTATTGGGCTGGCTTTAACATACAATATTCTCTACCTTGCTACCCCATTGGCTACAATCAGGCCTCATATTCGGAGGTGTAGGAGGCGGGAGCATAATGTGTTCATCTTGCGCATCCAAAGGCTTCGATTCATTCAAAGGGGTTTCGTTGGTTTCCATCTTTTGATTATAATAATTGCCCGGAGTAGATGCGTACGATTGAATAAGGTCATCGGAATGAATAGCAGATGAAGGTTTCCCTCCGTTTCCGTCGTGCTGGTCATCAGAAGAGTTTGATTCCTTGAATTGATTTTCTGCACGGCCCATGTATTCGTCTGTATGAGCCCCTGGGGTTGGCAAAGTACCATAGTTGCCCTGATTATCAACACTGTACAGTGCGTTAAGTGTATCCTCGATGTTCTCCTGCTTACAGCCAGCATTGCTATATTCATCAAACGAACTTTCCATGTGTTGAGTGTAATCGAACGGCGGGGGTGTGACCGCCGGGAGAGTCCGTTGACGGGAAGCTTCAAGACTAGATGATGTTTTGGTCACAGGCATATCTATCATATGAACAGCTACTGTTCTCTCGTGCTGAAAATGAGAAGGACTTGGCTCTTCTGACGGAAACTCTGCGCCACAGATACCTTTGTTTCGAAGCAAAATAGGCCTCAAAGATCTCCTCGAAGCTCCAGCTTCTCTCCAAACCCTGGAATAGGTGTATTTGATCTTTTTTGATTTCATCTAAAGTGCGACTTTGCGCTCATAATGCTAATCCAAAAACAATGATAATAACACTTGAACGAAAATGTTGTCGAGCTAAGATAGATATGTGCAATGTGTACGTGGATTCAATCAATCAACTCACAGGTCGTTGTAGATATTGTATGATGGAAAGCCGAAAGCGACTGCCTCGAATGAACTGTTATTATTATGGACAATCACGCTACGCACCTTCCTCATGAACCTCACAAAAGTCCCACTACAATGAGCGCACTGGGGCAGGTTGGCACTTGTCTGAAAGAGGGATTCGACAGTATTTCGCTTGGAAAGCTGAATCCAAGGTATGTCTTCAAGAACCTTGTACAGCAGGGCTGTAAACTGATCTTTGACTCAAATTATACAATGAATCCATACCTGTCAATTAAAACTTTTAGATATTTATGTTCATTTGAAAATACCTCGCGTTCTTTCATCCACTTCATCTGTCATTTCAAATAAAGTACCTCAAAACCACCAAATAATGCAGTGATCATCCGGCCCATATAATACGTATATGTATTGTTGGTTAGCATCCATTCAAATTACATCTAACCACTTCGAACCGGACTTCCAAACTTGATTTGGGGCCATTGGAGATGAGATCTCTCATAGCTTGTAGTGCTTCTATTGCAATCAAATTGACAATAGAAAGGAATATAATGCATACTATTCGAGGCCTAGTAGTACAGACTTCAGAGTTTCTAATTGATAATCTTAAGAAGCACATAGCATCTGATAAAAAAAATGACTGCGAGTCTGCAAGAAACGCGAGAGGCCATTCATGAACCCACAAGTTCAATTTGGGACAAATTATTTCCATGCATAAAAAACACAAGAGAAATAATAAAAAAAGGAGAAAAAGCGATTAGAGCCTTGACTGTCCACATCAGCTGAGCATTCTCAGAATATTGAAAGTGCCAGTAACGGGTCCACGTTGTGCTATCGTCAACAATTGTAAGGAATTATTCTACCAAAGTGGTAAATGACCATTCAATCCATTCAAGCAATCCATACCATTCCCTAACCCGTTTTGGTATATGTATATGGATGAACCTATCCATTTCCCCTCAAACAATCAAACGAAACCAGAATCTTGGTATTGTTGTGCCCCTACCGCTTGCCCATGCCCGCTTGCCCCAATGTCACGATTCCAACAATCCCGCAACCCCACAACGCCCACATGCAAAACTAAACAATCTTCGGACCCCGTGAAAATAACAAAGGAGACTAAATACAGAGGTTTGGTCTCGATGACCCGATGTATGATGCGTGATTGGTATTTGCGCTTGATTCGAACATAAAAAGAAACGTGTATTAAAAGATTGTACGTTTTATCGGTCTGCTTTTGGTGGTGACCAACCGTTGAGATATGCCATCAACCCCATACCAACCATGACAACGCCAAGCATCGAGACATAAGGTGTCGAGTGGTATAATAAAGGATCGTGTTTGACATTCTTTGAAGCAATCGCACGTGTGAGCGATGCATGAAGATCATCACTTTCCGACGAGGTATGTTTCATACCATTTGGTCGTCTTATGGGATGCAGTGCCAAATCACCTCCATTCGCAGTCCCGTTGACATGTTTTTCGGTAGCCTGCTTCGATGGAGATCGAGATCGGTCGGAAGCTAGTTGTCTTAGTTGCTCATCCGAGCGAATTTTTTCAATCATCTCTGCCAAGGTTTTTCGGTCGGTATCCCTCTCCCCCTCGGCGCTCTCTGCTCGTTTCTTATATGATTCCATTTGGGCTCGCAGCTCCTGCATGTCAGAAACCATAATTTCAAGGCGCTGTTCCAACAGACGAGATGACTCGGCAATACCAGTAGCGTCGACTTGTGTGTTGACTTTCTCTTGTGATGAAATATCATCTAAGGGTGGCTCAAAAGCATCTTCGAGTACTGAGCCTTCAATCCCAGATCTGGCGTTTCCGTTCAAGTTTTTGTCCGGTGTTTGGAGCTCTAATCGTTTAGCCATTTCTTCCGCCGTTTCTCGTGCTTGTCGTTCCTTTTCAAGCATTTCCTCTAAATCCCGCATCCGAGCACTTTGAAAATCGATCTCTTTCTTTGCCGATGCCAATGCCTCCACCAACGTAATGATTTGACTACTGACTTCTCTTACAGGAGAACCATTCGCTAAAGACCTCTGTTTTTCTGTATTAGATCTTCTTAGGGAGGCTGTAGGCGATGAGGGATCAAAGTTATGAGAACGGGCAACATCTGGCTTTTCAGGAAGAGGTTGTTGGGGCGGCGGCGCGGGAGGATCAGAAAATCGAGGTATTCCTTCAGCCCTAAAAGACAAAGCGGAACCGTTTGTTGAAGGCTTAGGTTCTGCATTTGGCGCACTCTCAAGTTCTTTCACATTGTCCTTCGATAACAGGCCACCAAAAAAGTTGTCTGCTCGCCCAAGGTCGGAGTTTTGCAGTCGGGCTGTTCGCATCTCATGCTAGATTGTATGTCAGTTTAAATGGATTGATGCATATAGATATATGAACCTACAGAAAGCCTCTTCACTATCTGCTCTGTTGTAACGGGGGTTAACCAGAAATTCATCGGGCGTTGCTGAGCCATGACGCTCATTTGACTCCCAGCTACGCTACCTGGTAGTCCCATGCGACCATTACTACCTATTGAGCTCTGGCTTCCAGTTCTTCCCCTCATCATGGGACCTTGAGATGGTAACATCATTGATCCATTAGCAGGATTCAAATCACCAAAACTCATATCCAGAACATTATTAGTTGAACCCGCAAAACCTGCATGCTCGACTTTCGCAGCGACCTTGTGATGTACAACAGTCTTTTGATCTTCGCTAACGATATCTATACCAAGCTCGAGGTGGTCTTGCGACTGCAACTCATGCGGATCCGAGTCCTTGTTTTCGGCTGATAAGCGCGCTCCGTTGACGAAGGTACCGTTTGATGATTTAACATCTCGAATCCATATCTTCCCACTGCGATCTGCCCAAATTTCTGCATGTTGTCTCGATAGTACCTTTGAATCAAAAAATCCATTCGCAGGCGATGGTACTGTTTTGGCATTTGTCTGACGCCCGATTCTCAAGCTATCCGGATAGAATGGTACTGATATCCTCTTGTGATCAAAGGTGCCGTTCATGGATAACAAGTAAAGCATTGGCTCCCCTTCCGTAGGTTGGCCTGGGGGTCTGATCTGCTGTGATCCATTTGGTGTAACATGTTGGGACGGTACCATGGGAGCCGGCTGATGCAATGGAGTCAGAGATGAACCAGAATTTCCATTTGTCAAGGCCGATGGAGGTTGTCGTGTCGTGTGGGAACCAGGGGCCGAATCTGATTTATTGGTCCATGGCGGTTGCACTCTTGGGACCTTCTTTCGTGCCGCTGCCGTACCCCAATTATTCGATTCATTAGACGAGGACATCGGTACGCCATTAGTCTGCGGGGTCTGTTGCGATACCGTCGAGTTGGATGAAGTGGAAGAAATTGAAGACAGTGAAGTAATCGATGAGGATGAGTTGGCACGCTGGGCGCTTTTTCGTGGCATAAACATTCTGCCCACTTCGTCGCCGTTAATAGCAATCATTCCTCCTTGGTTAACACTAGATCCCCATGCCGACCTGTTGATCTGCGGGAAACTCGGTGGATTTGCGACTGCCGTCATCGGTTAATCTGATTATTGGCCGTATTTCACAGTAGATGGGCTTATTCCTGACGATGTTGATGGAATAAGATCGTTGGAATGTTGTTGCTTTCCTCCCCCCCATTCAACCTCAACTACAACAAAGATGCTTCGCTTCGATGACCCTCTGGTCTATATTGTGGATACTAAATGTCTGCAACTCTCTATCTAATAAACAGGATTGAAGAGGTATCGTGTCGCACTGGATGTTATGATGATTGTTAGTAGGTGTCCACAAAGTTTTGGCGCCATGATGACGAGTGACGAGATAGTCGAGAAAGGGAGCGCACAGAAAGCTGGAATGCATCAAGAATCATACCGAGTGGACTCTAGGCTTGAGGAAAAGAATAAGAACACTTACATGTATGCAATGCAGGTATTGTAGGACAATTGCTGGTGGTAGAAAAGGAAACCTATTTCAATTTGATGTTGCCAAGGTGGAAAGTTTGGACATTCAGGTTGAGACACGCGAGGTCTATGTTCAGCCAACCAGAGTTCGAGATCGGGGATAAGAGCACTTGCGCACGCGCTCTCTTGCAGATACAAAAGGGTCTTTGATGGGTGAAGAGAGAGGAGAGAAGAGAAGAAACGAAGGACCATAGGAAGAGATTGAATGTTGTGAAAATTTAATGATTTTATCTCAAAGCTATCGCAAAGGACTTCTTTTATTATTATTTACGAATTAGGTATTTTTAATCTGAACCACCCAGAATTGTAAGTGAGAATCATTGGATTGTGAAGACCATCACGTGATACACATGATCCTTTTTCGCCTCTGTGCCTTGAATATTGAGGCCACGATAGGCTCAGAATGTGGGGGAATACATGTGCTTGTGTGTGGATGGTCTGTGCTTTCGGCAAACGCCGTGATCATTTTACAATTTAGTAGGTAGATTTGAACATCGGAAACTTTGAAAGCTCAAAGCTGTGATATGTGAGTTGATGAACCTTACAACTTCGCGAAACTAGACAAATCGATTGATTCCTTTGAAATCGCCAAATATGCCTCCAGTACCACAACCTCAAGGCCATCCCGGTGGCCAAACTATCTGGAATAAGCGTAAGACTGTGGTTCTACCCCTCTATCCGGGACTTTTACTGACCATGCATGTTTTCCAGTCCAGATGGGAGCTATGATGGGTGGCAGTATGCGACCATGATCTCGTTCATATATGCAAGTTACTGACCGCGTTCAATAACAGCTGTCGGTGCTATTTTGGGGTTTATGTACGGTATGTTGAAGCTGGAGGAGGCATAAAAAGATTCCATTCTGACAAGGCTAAGGCACACTTACCATCATTAAATTTGGTCCTGGCCCAAATGGAGTTTGGAGAACTCTACGCACATACATGCTCACTTCTGGGTCCACTTTCGGGTATTTATCATTACTCCTTTCTGTCAAATTAGTGTCAATGTGCTAATGAGTGATCACTCAGATTTTTCATGGCTATTGGCAGTACCATCCGTTCCGATAGTATTGCATCTCCAGAAACATTGGCAGCATTCGGCCGTGCAAACCGACGTCCTCTGCTTATGAACCGTCCATATCGTCCTTCGCGAACATCATAATGAAAAATGCTCTGCTGTAGAGTCGAAAGAGGAAGCCCATATATCTTTGGGGAAGATGGAACCTGGTGAATGCTTTGTAATCCAAGGCATGTTTATACATAATAGGTAGAGACATTTCAATTGTCGATCTTTGGGTCTCGCCGCTCAACTGTTTGCATAGGGGTGGAGTTTAATGGGGGCAATCTGTATCAACGAAGCCTCGCCCAGCGTTTTTCTTTTACTCGAGCCTCCTGATGAGCTCAATTCAACAATAAACGAATCTTACTACTTTGTCACTGGTTCATCGGTTGAAAGCTCGAATTTTGTGTTGTGGTCAAGAGGCCTGATATCTTTCTAACCACTAACGTGAGATGGCAATGGAGCGCTCGTATTTTATGTTGCGACTTCGAACATTTGAAGGGACAAGCTATGCAAGCGCTGCTCTTGACCTGTTATCTTGGCCTGATCTTCAACGATTAAGTGAGGGCTCTAGATCTAAATCATGTTCACAGTATCATTTACTCCTAATCCAGACGTTCATTCTTGACGGATTCGCAATCACATTCTTGAAGCTTATGGACAGACGCAATGGCTTGGTGAAATTGTTTCAATATTTGTTCTCAGCATGACATAAATACCTCCCCAAGCTTGCGCTTTCGGTCTTACTGATGAATTGTATCCCTTTCGACGTGGACGGAAATCGAACTCTTCTTATTAGGTTGATGTCGTACTACAAACCATTAAAGATCATGGCTGTGGCAGAAGACGAGTCCGATCTTAGATGTCAAACCCCGTTACAAGTTTTTAAAAGTCCGACGGTACCTTCGATGATGGGCCCCTAGCTATTATATGGACATCGAAAAGTCCTCTCGTGGCGAAATCGTATTCCTCGGCACAGCAAAGAATTTAGGTTCTATGAAGCCTTGATCAGACGAATTACACTGGTCCATTCATACGAACCAGTCTATTTAAGTGCTTCGCTTTGTGGCTGACATCGACTTAACTCTGTAGACAGGCAGACACTCGCCACTGGGCGAGGTACTCGGCCCTTCAGCTCTCATGGTGAAACCTCACTTTGACTAACGGCCTTGAGCAATGATACGGTACCATCCGAACAATCGAGTTGACTTCAGCTGAGATTTATCAAGAAAATGTTTGAATCGCTCTCATTTATGCTTGTTGAACTAACAAGAATTCTATAGTGAACATGATCTATACTCGACTCATGTGGCCACATCAACCTCGCTTCGGGAAGTAACATTTCCGTACAACTTGATTATCATCGTCGAAAAATATCAGAACTCAATTGTATCCATCGAAAGATCAGCAGTGACGCTCCGCCGGAAGTGATCATTCTTTCGGAGTACTTGTCTAACTAAGAAAATTTTCCGATTTAAGATTGTTCCTTGGGCAAAATACCCACCTAGCGCGAAGTGGGTCTGTTTCTTCGCTTGGCACGTCCAGTATAACCAAGAGAGAAAACTGTTATCCATATACATTTCTGCAACCTCTAATTCTAGAACTAATTGAACCGTAAACAGACTACCTATGATGGTAAGACACCGGCAGCGACGAATGACAGCATGATGATTCTTCAAACTTCAACAATTGTGTATTACTATCGAAAGCGGAGGTTTTCACAACTCCTTTTTTTTTGCGTGAGCTAACGATTTGGAATTGCATGCGAAAACCACGACGTTGTGTACTATTAATCAACGACCACGTTTCTTGTAACCAATTGATGTCCAATACTGGATTCAAAAAGCTGTGTTGCGTACTACTATCACGGTCTTATTCCTTGACGCTTCTACTGTCAATCGTGGTTTCCTCGTGTCAATGCTGACTTCAAATCATCAATAGGCTCACTTACCACCAAATTCTCCAGCTAATGAAATCCAAAGCTGACCTCTGCACGGGTCCTCACCTTATCACGGCTAGCAACATATTACTGTATACAAATAAATCATGAAGCACATCATTGTTAGCCATCTCTTCTTCACTACTTGACTACGATATAATTTCTCTTTCCACAATATATCACATAGAATCCATGGATGTGGGTTGATACCTCGGTACCTGACACGATTAGCATTATTCAATTACTCAATGTAAGTCTTGATCTTTACTCAGGTACCCACTGCCGAATCTGGACATGACTTTGTTTCGAAACATCATGAAGATCCACACTATTCTCCTTTTGAACAATGATCAACTGGTCATCGGAATATTGTTCGAGATACATGCGGCAATGGTAACTGTACACAAACAAGATTTCTTTCATTGGGATATGGAGTGAATCGCTCTAAATGATCTTTCCGCTCCTTCAAATCAAATAAGAAGTCAAGGAGAGGGATCTTTTGTTTTATGGGGTTTTTTTTGGGTCTTTTGAGTCTCTTAGGTCTCTTGGGGTTTTCATTTTTTTTTCCCTTTCTCTTGTTACCCGATCCAAGGGATTTTGTTTCATATTAGAAAGCTCTAATATATAGAGTACGGCGGAAAGTCGAATAGTTTCGCTTCCTTTAGGTTAGTCTTTTTGCCCGTCTTATATTATCCCTTCATCACATCTCGTTAGTGTCACTCGGAACCGTCCATGCGTTTTTCGTTTGTGGAGCGGAGTGGATCCCCGGGTAACCTTATCTGCAAATCACCATTCACAACCTTTATTGACCGTGTACCTACATACTATAGAGGAGCTATGTAGGTACAATGTAGGCAGGATGTCGGTACTCGACAATACTAACTTAGATTTCATACTTTGTACCAGAGTTTGGAGGCAAATTGCCGCAGCACAAGGTATGCTTCTCATGTTTCCAACTCTATTAGGAAGGTAGGCTAATTTGCGATGAACCTCTTCCCGTATTTTGCTACTGCAGCGCAGCATATCTAGAATCCACGCTAGCTTTGTCCAAAGTTAGAATGAATCATACCCCAGGCTTATACCAGTCTCTTCTTTCATGGCAAAGTACAGAATTATTCAATCACTCTACGCTAGACGTCAAGCCCCAAATGAAATGTAGGGAATGTCTGATCTTTTTTGAGTTACACGGAGAGTTCGGTCTATGCAATACTATACTAGAGCGAACCTTTGTCGACTTGCCGCCCCGGAAAATAATGGGTGCTTCGGAAGCTTTCTTTTTTGTCTATATAGTATCACCACTTGCCCACATCCATAATCGATATCTACATACCATTTCATAGTCTTTCGTTCAACTTTGTCGCGACGGTCATTTCAAAATGACTTGGTTTGGTCTCTTCGCTGGCATGATGGCTGCTGGTGCCGGAATGATCAGTACTTTATCTCAAACAGCAACTAATGGGTGAGTCTCAGTCCTTGAATCGAGAATATTTTATGCTGTAGTGGTTTGTATATTGACTCTTTGTCTAGAAATTCTGTTTGGGGAACTTTTGAAGCTCCAACCTTTCCTCACTTTCTCACAGATAACCCTCTCCCTAATGGATTTCCCTGGGGTTCAATGACTGCAGGTGGAAATGATCCATACACGTCAGCTCCTCATACAGGAGTTGTTCGATCCTACGATTTTAATGTCACAAGAGGCACAATTGCCCCAGATGGTTATTCCAAAGATGTTATACTTGTCAATGGGCAATTTCCTGGACCTGCAATTGAGGCAAATTGGGGTGATACTTTCGTGATTATAGTACACAATCAGATTACCGGACCCGAGGAGGGAACAGCTTTCCATTGGCATGGATTATTACAAAAGGGAACTCAATATATGGATGGTGTCCCTGCTGTAACACAATGCCCTATCGCTCCAGGGGCTTCTTTCACGTATACTTTCAAAGCCGATCTTTACGGAACTTCCTGGTATCATTCGCATTACTCTGCTCAATATGCTGGTAAGAACAGCAGTCTTTATATTCCTTTTCTATACTAACATTCATGCAGGTGGACTTGTGGGACCTATGATTATCCATGGCCCTCAGAACGCACCGTATGACATTGATCTTGGACCAGTTTTTTTAACCGATTATTATCACAAGGATTATTTTTCGATAGTCAAATCGGTTGTCGAGAGTAATGGAGATTCTAAACCATCTTCAGACAACAATCTCATCAATGGAAAAATGAATTTCGACTGTTCTACGAAAGCTGAAGGAGATAACACCGCATGTACTGACAACGCTGGTATCTCACGTTTCAAGTTCACCACTGGAAAAACACACAGATTGAGATTAATCAATGCCGGTGCTGAGGGAATGCAAAGATTCAGTATCGATGGACATAAAATGGTTGTTATTGCCAATGACTTTGTGCCAGTTGTAAGTACCGCAACTTTTTATAATTCATCGAAAAAAGTACTGATTTTTGCAGAAACCATACACCACCAATGTTGTCACCTTAGCAGTTGGTCAAAGAACCGATGTTCTTGTCACTGCTAACGCCGAATCATCTGACTCGGCATTCTGGATGAGATCAAACATATCCACAACGTGTTCTTTGACCAAGCAACCAATTGCTCTTGCAGCAATCTATTACGATGGCGCCGACACAGACTCGACTCCAGCAAGTACAGCGTGGGATGTTCCAGATCCAGGAACTTGCACAAACGATGAGCTAGACGTCACCGAGCCCTATTATTCTCTTGCAGCAGAAACACCCTCCACAACCTCAAACCTGGACATCAACTTCTACGTCAATGAAACCGGAAGTTTCCTCTGGACACTCGGCGGAACATCTTTCCGTGCAAACTATAACAATCCTATCCTCAACCTCGCCAATCAAGGCAATTTCACCTACCCCGATGAATGGAACGTGCGCAATTTTGGCAGCAACACTACCATTCGTGTCATAGTAAACAACCCTACTCCCGCATCGCACCCCATGCATTTGCACGGACACAACATGCAAATCCTGCACGAAGGTGACGGAGACTGGGACGGTGTCACTATTACCCGACAATCGAATCCTCAACGACGAGACGTGCAACTCGTGCGAGCAAATGGTCACTTGGTATGGCAAATCACCACAGATAACCCTGGGGTCTGGCCTTTCCATTGTCACATCGCGTGGCATGTTAGCGGAGGCTTATATGCCAATATCTTAGAGCGACCAGACGATATCAAGAATGATGCCATTCTCACTTCAGTGGAGCAGACTTGTACGCAATGGGGTGCATATTCCAGTACAGCTGTTGTGGATGAGATTGATTCGGGACTTTAAATTTTTGTAAATGGGGCTTGGTGTTTGGAGAACTTTTCTCATATCCTTGCATAGTTGCCTTGGAATGAATGGGTGGTTGGAAAACCACTTGCTATTTTTTTTAATTGCTGGAACATGATTTTTGGGGGTTCGGGAATGAGATGTCATGATAGCATGGAAATAAAAGGCATCTGGATTCAATATCAGTGATTGGGGTTCAAGTATATTTATAATGATTCATGAACATATTCTCTTCTATGGAATTTATATTTCTCAAAAGTTATCTTTATTCTATCTTCTGCGATATTGAGATTCTTTGTGCATTTTGTGACTAAGGGAAACTCTGATGATATGATACCTGCGACGGCCACTGCGAGATATTCAGCAGGAGATGGCAATTTCGTTTCGCTACATGTCAATATGATCCTCAGCATGATCCCTCGATAAATCTGAACAATAATCACCGAAGTTCAACAAAACACAATATTCAAATAATACATTAGCTATCAAAAGATATCCCATCCCATCATATCATATTAAAGCAACCCTAAACTCCCAACAAAAAACCCAAACGCCAAAAATCGATTCACGAGGAACATCTAACTACTCGAACACTCACCTATTCAATAATAACCTTCATCTATCCCATCGCCACCAACGAGTACATTAACTTTCCTCATCCATTTCATCACGATAGAGTTTCTCCTCTCCTCTCCTCTCCTTGCCACCTAACCTGCCACCACATTCATCCATCCATCCCATACAAATAAAAGAATAAAAAAATCTAATATTAACATTAACATTAACCCTAACTCAATAACATAAAACTCTATCTTTATCCCTATCTCTATCCTCACTTATCTACATACATACATACCATTACGTACCCACCAAACCATATCTCCCTATCCCTATCCTCCACCGCTCGCGCTTCCTCGCGAGTCGTCATCCCCATCTCCATTCCCAACCCCATAAACTCTAATCCATAAACACTAATCCCAATCCCATCCATAAAACGAGCCGCTCTAACACAGAAGCTCACCGGTCCTGCAGAGTCCACACCCATCATCATAGACTAGACTAGACTAGACTAGACTAGACTAGACTAGACTAATTCCCGTACTCCTCTTCCTCTCTCAAAAACCCAAAATCCAGATAAATACTACCTATTACGAGTAGACAAAGATGAGAAATCCCAGTCTCACCGCTCAAACTTTATTTAATCTTTCAACATTACCACACCCCTTTCTCCCCTCCCATACTATCCGGATGCTATCCCCAAAAAATCAATGTGCAGACACAAAAGTTAACTCCGCTTACTAACCTACTAGCGTACTAGCGTGTCGATCTGCCGTATGCATGCACGCATGCATGTAGCTGGTACCCCTGTAACTTGAAGAACCTCAAGAACCTTAAAAAGTCAAGACGTAAGACATACTCCGTAGGTAGGTAAGGTTAGGGTTCCAAGGTTAGATAAACCCCGTGTACCTGCGGCATAGGCGTGGCGGCGTGGCGAACGTGGCTGGTAAGTTGTAACTTTAACCTTCCAATTTAAGCTTGTCGTATTCGGGTTGGTTAGGGGTATGGTGTGGATGGAATTGTACGGGATGGGATTGTGTTCTTGGTATGGGATTGTGGGTATCGTATTGTGGTTGTGTGGTTGTATGATTGATTGATTGTATCTAGTATGATGAATGATGAAATGATGAATCGAACGGGCCGCGGTTCCTAGGTGTGGCGAAATTAAGTTGGAGGGGGATGGCTGGCTGTCTTGTTCATTTTTCTTGGAGAGGAAAAAAGGGTGAGGAGTGATGAATGCTTGAATCGGTTGGATGGATTTGTGTGTGGCGATCCGGTATTCAAATGGTGAGGTTGTGAATACATTCCGATGATTTTGGAGGACGAAATCGGGAGGCTGAGGAGAGATGTGTGTGGACATCAAAGTGGTATTGGAGATATCGACATGTGATATTATGTAGTTTGCCATGTATATGGATGGCATTGCATGATTCCAAATAATGTTTCTCGTCATTGATGTGAATTGGATGTTGACTAACGGAAAGACAGAGAGATGGTGCTTTTAACTACATGAGAAGAGATGAGTTATCTATATTCGCAAATACTCACCTAAATACCATAATAAAAATGGATACAAAGTTATTATAGAAATTCAAGACCAAGCTATAATTTCTGAAGCTATCAGGTATCTACAGATAACCCTGTTGGGTGTTGATAGATGATCTGATATCGAGAGCGAGAGTTCTCTTACTGAAGACCCCCAATATATAAATCACATATCCCAACTCATCAGATGAGTACTCGAGATTTTCTATACTCTGATAGCATACATTCGAGAAGTCATACCTGCTTCCTATTCCTCGTTGTATCGTTGAACATCTTGTGTTTAAGGTTGAATAATCTATTAGTCGTTTGAAGTAGGTGCCAACTACATACGAGGGCTACGCGATATCAGCAAATAGTACAAGAATAAAGAGATAGTTTTGTAGCATAAGTTAGTACCTGCTTGAATCGATTGAGATGCTAAATTTAGAGTCCGAAAAGATAGATGTATATATCAATTCTTTGTGCTATCAAGCGTTCAATTTCGAGTACCTCGTAGAAACCAACAACTTTCATACATGTCAAAATACGTAACCAGCAAAACATTGCTTGGAACAAGAATTGTACTTTGCACCTGGGATATGACAAAATGCGCAGCTGTACCAGATGAGTAAAGACGCATCAATCGTTCAGTCCGGGGAGGAGGAAGAGATGTTATGCTTTGTAGTCATTGTCTTCATATCTTTTTTTAGATCTTGAAGTGCATCCGGGGTGTAAGTTTTCAGAATAAATCAATCTAGTCATGTGTTGTTGTGCTATACTTATAAGTAATGGCACTACTGCTTTATATCTATGATGAATATTCTTGCTCTGAAACTGTCAAAGTGGAATTCGTCATCAAACGTCTTTCAATAAAGTCCCAGCTTTCGGGACCAAGTCTCCCAAGATGTGCTTGTCATCGGATATTTGTACTTCCAATGTCACTATGTCATCAACCAAAAAAAAACGGCATCAACGGTACCAGTGATTTGTAAAGATAACAAGGCGCAGTTATCCCTTTTCCAATGACACAAAAACAATGTCGATCTCTATTGAAAAAAATAGTCCAGTCGCAGGATTGTTTCAGAAAACCCAAAACGCATCTCCATACATTTGATTCGTCCATATACCACAAGAAGAGGCAAATTTAAACACAAGCTTAACATTATTCGCACAGACGTGAGGATAAAGATCACTAGATCGTTTCGCAACACAACCAAGGTGGATAAATTTCCGAATATGAGTCTCCTTTCCTCACTCTAACCTTGTCTCAGTGTGTGATCGCTTCTCTGAAGTCTCGGTTTTGAGATATTGGATTGCCGGATATAGATTTTCTGACAGTAAACCAACTCCCGCATGAAGTCTGACATCAGATTTTCTGGATTTTGGTTCCGAGGACTCTAGTGATGCTCGAACGGATGAAAATCTGGCTTGGAATACTAAGATAAAAGCTTGAGAGTCTGATGCGAATTTGCGGATGTTGACGCTAAGACTTCAAAACTGGTCATTGTCCATTTTGAAGTATGTATATATAACATACAATCCCAATTGTTTTAAACTTTGCTGCTGAATATTATCTTCTAGAAACTAATAAAATATCACTCACCAATAATTAAATCATCATGTATTTCTCTCAATTCTCCGCAATTGCCTTGATGGCAGCTAGTCTCGTAGCCGGTGGTAAGTTGTATGGATCTCATTTGAATGCTTCAGCAGCTAACAAACTCCCAGTTCCAACACAAGCACCCAGTGCCGTAGATGCAAAGACACATACCGTAGTAGTTGGTTCCAGCAACACATCTCTTCTTCTCTTCACCCCACAAGAAATAACCGCCCAGCCTGGTGACAAGGTAGAATTCCAATTCCACGAACGAAACCACACCGTCACACAATCCGCATTCGATTCACCGTGTCAGCCAATGGCCAATGCAATCCACAGTGGCTTCGTTCCCACGGCGGCAAATCAAAGCATGATCACGACGTTCACTATGACGGTTAACAGTACGGCGCCCATGTTCATGTATTGTGCACAGGGAAAACATTGTCAAGCAGGAATGGTATTGACAATCAATGCATCGTAAGAGATTCCTACCCATGCACATGAATCTATGCAGCCTTTGACTAATTGATGATTTAGGAATGGAACCCAAAACTTCGGGACATACAAAGCGGCCGCAGCAAAAGCAACTAGTAATGTTCCAGCAGCGGTAGTGGGCGGCGGGGTCTTAGGACAAATATCCCCCGATAAATCGACCACAGTTCCGCTGCGACGAATTTGAGGGGGGAAAGAGCTTGAGGCGGGTTCCTTGTGTGAATGAGTAATGTTAATTGTCTCTTTGGGTTTGAGATGAGCTTTCCCATCGGTGGTTCTGGTAACCACGTGTTATATTTCGTTTACAATACCCATTGTTTTTTCCATCTTGTTTTCATGTATGTCTCTTTATTGTGTGTTGTTCCGTTGATCATATCTGGAAGTAAAGGGTCCTGGTTCTAGGGGTGGATATGTGTATTAATTTGCAGCTCACACTTGGGTCTGTAACAGACATTCTCGGAGGTATCGAAACCTTCCAGAGTTGCGAAGCTGGGAAATCAACAGAAGGGTGTGTGGGAGAACTTTTCCATACATGTACGATACATTCATGCGATAAACCATGTATAGGGGTTTGCAGTTTCAAACTGATGTCCGCACTGATCGGGAAAGAGGTCGCTGCTCTGATTAGTCATGCCTCAATGCCAAGACTCTTACCCCCTTTCGAAATAACCTTTGATGAGTGAAGAATTTCAACATCAGAATCTTTATCAGGTCCGTTTGTCCATCTAATGTACTAATCTGAGGCAGTGTTTGATACCCAGTTTATTACTGTAGTGCTCTTTTCCTATCCAATTAGTTCATTAAGACTTTCTATTTTACCCTTCACAACATACACATGAGCCAAAGGGGTCTTGTGTACTCTTCAGGTTCATTGAGAACTAGTCAATATCAACAGCGGTCTCACTCAAAACACATGACGAAGGTCCCGTTATCCGAAGAACAAAGATCAGCTTACTAGAATTGAAGCTCCCTAGCGCGCAAGCTATACTTGAGGTTCCTAGACAAGCCACACCCATATTAAAGAAGAAGAATTGGATTTGAATTTGCTCTGAGACGACTGTGGGAATGATTGG